ATCTATTCTAGTAGCCTGGAACGCCCCCTAGTAGGCGTTCCAGGCTAATAGAATAGACTAGAATAGCAGCGGTGTCATTCCTTGGTATAAATAATAAATTCCTATTACAAATAAAAATAATAATATACCGAATTTCTCAAGGCATACCTACTAAAATGCAGCCAAAAATGCAAAAAACCGCATCAAATAATAATAATAATATACTGAATTTATTGTTAATTTAAATAATAGCTACGGGTTCCCCTATTCTGTATACATCTATAAAATACAGTGGTACCTCGGTATATGTCTGCTTTAAAATACATCCAATTCAGAATACGTCCTGTTTGAATGAAACAAATTTTGCTCGATATACGACTTAATTCAATTATATGCACCATCTATAAACAAGTAGCACTATTGGTGTACTAGACCAGACTAGACGTTCACAGTGCTACATTTTATAACTTTGTTAAATTTCTTCTGATTTTAATTTATATGTAAAATTTTATTATTTTTATTAATCATGAACTGCAAAAAGGCAAATGAAAAACAACAGAAAAATAAAAAAAAATGACTAGAATCACAATGGAACTGATAAAAGAGATTGTTGAGAAATATGAAGGTGGCATGCATGTTTGAGATTTAACTGTTGAATACCGTACTCTGTGAACGACAATATTGGCAATCGTAAAAAATAAAGACATTATTAAATCTGCTAACGTTTTGAAAGGGGTTAAATCAATTTCTAAACATTAGATCATGTTGAGAAATTGTTTTTGCTTTGGATAACTGAAAAACAGTGTGCTGGCAACAATGTATCAGAAGCAATTATTTGTGAGAAAGCTAAAAAAATACATGTTGATCTCATAAAAAATCAAGCAGGAACTAGCCAGGAAAGCAAGGTGTTTAAAGCCAGCCATTTTTTCTACATGAGAACAGATTAATCATTTTTACATTACTTCTTATGGGAAAGGTTGGTTTGGTATACATCCTATTTGGTATAAGTCCAAACATCAGGAACCAAGGTTCCACTGTATATATATATATGCATCAACCAGAATCAACACTAAATCATAAATCAAGGATCTAACTTTTTCTATCTTCTCTTGCATTATGTACCATATGTGGTATTACACTTGTAGAGATAAGATTAAAGACAAAAATAAGCAAAATTCAATCATCTCCCACATTAACTTTCTTCTTAGACAAAGTATATACACTTATTTATCTTTGTCTTCATCATTACTGTTCATATATTTTTTGTTATTAGCTGCAACTATTAGTTCTTTTTATAGTAATATTCATTAAACATTTAATATGATATATTTAAGTTTACTAAACTTTCAGATATCATACATACTAATTCTCTTAAATTGCAAAACAATGTTTAAACTTGTATGCTTTTTTATTATGCATTATATAATTTCAGTAACTTCTAACAACTGATATATTAATGATTATTTACTTCTAGATGATTTTATTTTCATACTACAATTGTAGATAGCACAAGAAAGCATAGGTGCCTTTACATTCCTTCTTTTCATTTGATTATTATTAACATTTTTTTATATTCAATCACTTTCTGCTACAAGTTATTTGGAGACTAAATTTTACTTGGAGACTCCTAATCCTATTATGTAAATACATGACATGTCAAGTTTGGAAAATGAACTTCTTTGTTGTTACTGTTTTATTTTTTGTTAAAATCTTAATATGTTTCAATACTTGTTTAAGGAAAATTTTTCTCACATCTTTTGCTATTACAGACCACAAATAGTTCTGTAACAATTTAACTATAATTTTTAAAATACAAATATTCAATACTTACTTTATGTCATTTGAAAATTTTGTCATTTCTAATATATTTCAATACATATTTATACATACTTTATTTTATACATAATGATTTTTAATGAAAATTAAGCTAAGCTATAATTTCATATTTCTTAAATATGTTCTCTTTATGCTAAATCATGAAAATATAAACATTAAAAGTTTTAATAACTATAAAAAGTAGGTATATTTCTGTATGCAGTAAAACCTGAATAAAACAAAAACTTACTTATATGGAAAACTTCAGAATGGGATAATTTTCTTGTTAAATTTTACTCTGAGCCAAAAATCTGTCCACTGTGTAAACAGAAAAGGTATGTGGGTACAAAGACTGCAATGTAACCCAAATAGAGTAGAAAATTAAAATTGCACTTGTAGACAAAGAAGACTCCAGGTATAACAGTCACTGCAGAGCGTGACAAATTGTATCCTGAGAATAATTTCAAACCTTTTCAGAGAAGCACAGGTCATATGACAAGGAGAAATATAAACACAAGGTCTTTGTTAATATTAGTCTTTGTCTAAAGCAGTGGTTCTCAACCTTTTTACCCATGAATCCCTTTTCCTCTTAATTTTTTTTGTGGACCCCCCCATAGACATTACACAAGAAAAAAAAAACCTAAAATTTTCAACAAAAAAAAAAGAAAACATTCAGAAATGTCACTGTCAAGTGACATGACGCTGATGGTATAAGATTCTCCTAACAAGCCCTGGCTTTATAATTCTCTTTGACCTTTGTCAATGAGATACATATATTCAATATTTTACATAATTTATATTTTAACCCTTATGCAAGAAATGAGTAATAAAGAAATTGACAATATACATACTGTAGAACTGTAGAAATTTAATTCTCAGTAAAACAATTGTTCTGAAATAGAAATACCCTATGGACCACTAAAATATCACCGTGAACCCCAATTTGGTATATTTTTTCAATAATGTTACATGGGCCCCTAGGGTCCATGTGGATCCTGGTTGAGAACCACTGGTCTAAAGTAATCAGAGGCAGAATCAAATTTATTCTGAAATTTGATTGAGTTTCCTAGAACCAAGTTCAAGAACAAGCAATGAATACATTATAATTTGCTAAAATGACAAGAATGAGCATAACAAAATCTTCTAGTTTAATTACCAGTACCAATGAACACCATTACTAAACCTTTAATTCCAGTAAAATAGCATTTATAACAATATCGAACTAATGCTTTCGACCTTACCCAAAGTCTGCTTCAGGTTCTTAAACAAATTGTATTCCAAAAATAAAATGTTTAGAATGATCTCATATAATAAGTACAGTACATATAGGTGGCCTTATATGTATATATTGAATTCACATAAATGCCACCATTTGTTTAATTTTGATTTATGTTCCAAATTTTTAAAATTTAATGCATCTAAAAAAATGTTTGATTCTAAGCATTCTGTTTTTGGAATACAATTTGTTTAAAAACCTGAAGCAGACCTTGGGTAAGATTGAAAGCATTAGTTCAAAATTGTTTTAAATGCTATGTTACAGGAATTAAAGGTTTAGTAATGGTGTTCAAGAATGAGCAGTAACACAGTAGCATTTTGATAATTACAGAGATCAAGCAGAGTATTAAAATTCCTTGAGAAGTCAGATCACAGAATCACTTGGTCTCTGTATTACTGTAATGCAATTAGGATTTCTAACAGCAAGCAAGACCACAGTTTTTGGTACTCAAACTGTATTATTCATTGTCATGCAAGCTCATAATAAATTGCATTACAGATGTATTCAATATTCATGTGTTCTCAGAAAAAACAAACTTTTTAGAATGAATATTTCTCAATTCTTGTGTTTGAATATTCACATCTTTAGTTTTAATCTTTAGGTTTAATCCAAAGTGATTCACTTTGGATTAAACCTAGTAATAAAATGTTTCTAAGTAGGTAAAAATGATTTATTATTAAAAAAATTTTTAAAAATCTATATTATGACATTTATCTATAATATTTTAAAGATAAAACACAAAAAACTGAAACACATTCAAAATGGAAACATGTCAGAAATTAAATAAATTTGGTTAGGTGGAATTCTGATTTACAAAGGTTTTACTGTGTAACTATTTGTAATATAGTAAGACAATAAAAATATCTATATTACAAATATGAATCTTATAGGACACATTACTTCAATGTATGTTTGTAGAACATGCTATTTAAAGTATTTCCAATCAATTTAATAATTAATAACTAAGAAATGGCTGAATTACTGCCATAGAGAGTACAGGATATCAAAAATTACTTTCACAATAGCAGAAAAATCACTTTCTTACTATATTGTCATGTTACATCTGTTTAAACATAAAATATCATAAATTCATTTAGTACATTATAGTTAAAATCGTTTAAAAAAGATACATAACAATAAATCTTTAAAATTTCTTTTAAAACATATATTGCTTTAATATAGTTCAAAAACATAAAAACATGCATTTTATTAAGAGTTTTAAAGTTGTTTTTATATAAAGAATCCATCATATTTCTACTTTGAATAACAATGATAGCAACAGCATGCATAATAAAACAAGATACCACTTAATATTCATTCATTAATAGAAACAAATTTTAATAATATAAAATTTATATTGAGAGCATAATAAAAATGGATATTGATGGAAAAAACTTCTGACAATTTTCATAGCCATAAAACATGGTTTTTATTAAATAATTATTTTTTTACAAAAAAAAAAACACTTATTAATCAATTAGAAAATAATTATTAAAAAGTAATAGCTAATGAGAAATTTAATGTAATAGAAAGTGAACAATATATCTTCAATTGTGGTAATTTAAATAATAAAAAAAAAAGATAATTGCAGCCTCTTCTACATAAACTGCTTTTGAAAATAAAGCATTTTTCTTTAAAGCAAATAATTTGAATTTATTTAATCCACATCATAACTTGATGCAACTTACTAAAGAATTATGACACTGATATATACAGATAGAAACAATCTTGAAGGGTTAAATTTTAATTAAAGTAATATTAATATTAAATGATTAAAAATGATACTACATACAATGAATGTAGTTAGAAGACAAAAAAACAAATAAATTTCTGTACATAAAAAAAGCAGAGATAGTTTTTCGTTAAACATATAAGCTGTATAAAATAAAAATTTTTTAAATGTGGATTTAATTAAGAGAAATATACTTACGGATTAGAACTGTCAGACAGCAACAGGCAGGCATGGAGAAGAGGACATAAGAATCAGTATAAGTCATGCATAAACACAATATTTGACAATAAATTAAAGAGGTGTTCAATATTAAAGCAATAAATTATCTTTGATTAATAATATATTCAAATAGCTTTAAAATTTTATTATAAATTTTTTCTGAGAATGTGAATAGTCTTCAAATACTACAAGATATATCTTTTTAGTAAATTTAAAAAATAACAATAGAATTTTATATTACTACATATGTATATATATATACAGTCGACCCCCCTATAACACAGGTTCATATAGTTCGGATTCCTATATAAGGCAAAAAAATTGCAACAGTATTCGTACAAACATGCTAAAAAACTCCTATAATTCAGTAAAACGTCATCACCGACTTGTATCGCGACAGGATTGGTCGAATCTAGACCAATAGCGGATATTGCACAAACGAGTTGAGTTTAAATGAGCAGCGGACCTACTAAAACCATTTATTATTTAACGGCCATAAAAATTATATTTATATTAATGATGTCTCCGAAGTTAAGCAAATTTTTTGCAAAAAAAAAAAATTTATCAGAAAGCACGCGAGCGCCACTCGATGACAAGCTCCACAACAAAAACAAGCTTAAGCGATGACGTTGTAGAACGGTGCACACTCAGTAAGTAATCCTACAATTTTTTGTTTATAGCATAGTTTATATGGATTATTCCCAAAAATTATACATATTTTGGAAATGTTGAGTCGAATTAGTCTAGAATCAATTAATTTTATGGAAGAAAACCTTTCAAATAGCCGTAGTCCATAAACTGCATATGTGCTGGGCTGTGATTGGCTCATGTATTCAAGGACTCTTAGAACATAAATTTTATAAAGAACGGAACATATCTACCGTGTTATAGGGGGTTGACTGTATATACAATTGCTAACTTGCTGACAATCTCAGATTACATGATTTATAAAGTATTTTCTTAACATAAAACTTATAACAACTCTGATTACTTATTTTAAATTCAAATTCACAGATAAAACTGATTTTCAGAATTTTTGTAAATATTTAACAATTAAAATTATTCTTTCAATCACTATATCAGTGTATTTCTATTAATAGGACTTATCATACTGGTGTATAAGATTACAGCCTCACAGTTACACAGATGAAAATTGTTTTATTTTTCAATTACCTGTTTGTTATACACCAGTATGATAAGTCCTATTAATAGAAATACACTGATATAGTGATTGATAGAATAATTTGATTAAATTAAGGACATTGATGCATATTAATTTAACAATTAGTTCCAATAAAAAGTGAAATTAGTAATCATAAACATTACTAGATTCAGGAAATTGAATTTCTATTAACACTGTGAGATTTTCAACTTGGTTTGAGCTATTTTCAGTACATTAAATTAATTAAAGCATAAATAAAATGCAATGTTAAAAATTGGCATATGTTTGTATACATTCAATTTTTAATTCGGCTTTCTATTTATATTTTAATGTGTTAAAGATTGCTCAAATTGAGTCAAAAACAGTGTTAATAATACAGATTCTGTTTCTTTAATCTAGTAGTATTTACAATTATTTATTCAAAATGTTTCCAAGTTTTAAAAATAAAATTAGAGCTTAAGGTAGAAAAACGCTATATCGGATCTTGCATTTTAGTAAAAATTTTAATATTGCATTCTTTCAGTTAATTTCTACATAATGACTGTACTTCATTCAAATTTTCTATTTGACTTTTTGAACAAAAATATAGAATATAACAAAAAGTATGTTAGACATTTACTTCATGTCAATTTAGGTGCACATAAAAGCAGTTTAAAAAAGACAAATGTACACAAATGAGTTTTAGCATGAGTGTGTAAGTGAATGTGTATACATTCAAGCTCTCTAGATAACTGAGAATGCAAAATATTGCATTAAAATTTTAAAAAACTAAATAAGCTTTATTGTAATATGTTAATTAACAAGAAATACTCATTAATTTGTACTTCAAAAATACTAAAATTTAATTGGGTTATTTTAAAGCTGTATCTTAAATTAATTATGAATTATGGATGAAGGCAGACAGTATCATTACCCAGTAAAGTGATTAATTGTAATGATTAAAAAGTAAATAATTTTAATTTATTTATTCATAATTTTGAAACACTTGAAGAAAAGTTTGGCATAAAATGGGATTCAAATGCAATCCTAACATCAGACTGGGAATTTAGATGGCATAATTGATAATTCATAATCTGGGAATAGATGGCATAATTGATAATTCATTCTCTGATGGCATAATTCATGAACTACTGTACAGTGACTATGAGCCATAGTTTATTGAAACAGAAGTTTAAATTTTAGATTAACAAGACTAATTTAAAATACAGTAGAGTCCCATACAACTTGGAAATACATTGTGTTATAGGAAATAGCATTACTGAAACATGTACAGTACTATCAGATGATTTTATGCAAGTTTAAACCTATGCCTAGTAGTTGAAAAAGAAAACGTATACTTTTGGATGACAAGATTAGAATTTTGTACGAATACTGGTCGCAATTTTTTTGTCATGTACAAATTCATGCTATATGGGAGTTCACTAATATTAAAATAAACACAACATACAATTTGGTACTAGATTTGTTGAAAGATATGATATGTTAATTCTTATCACATTAAATCAATATGTGAAGCTATAAATGCAATAATTTTTTTTAATTTTAAGACTTTAATTCTTAATTAAAGATTTGAATTAATATCAGTAATTGAAGATAATGGTATCATATAAGTGGAACAATAATTACAGTAGATCTCCCTATAAGACGGTAGATACGTTCCGTTCTTTATGAATCAATTTTGTAGGAATCATAGTTTACGGACTACGGCTGTTTGAAAGGTTTTCTTTCATAAAATTAATCGATTCTAGACTAATTCGACTCAACATTTCCAAAATACGTATANTAGTAAATTTAAAAAATAACAATAGAATTTTATATTACTACATATGTATATATATATACAGTCGACCCCCCTATAACACAGGTTCATATAGTTCGGATTCCTATATAAGGCAAAAAAATTGCAACAGTATTCGTACAAACATGCTAAAAAACTCCTATAATTCAGTAAAACGTCATCACCGACTTGTATCGCGACAGGATTGGTCGAATCTAGACCAATAGCGGATATTGCACAAACGAGTTGAGTTTAAATGAGCAGCGGACCTACTAAAACCATTTATTATTTAACGGCCATAAAAATTATATTTATATTAATGATGTCTCCGAAGTTAAGCAAATTTTTTGCAAAAAAAAAAAATTTATCAGAAAGCACGCGAGCGCCACTCGATGACAAGCTCCACAACAAAAACAAGCTTAAGCGATGACGTTGTAGAACGGTGCACACTCAGTAAGTAATCCTACAATTTTTTGTTTATAGCATAGTTTATATGGATTATTCCCAAAAATTATACATATTTTGGAAATGTTGAGTCGAATTAGTCTAGAATCAATTAATTTTATGGAAGAAAACCTTTCAAATAGCCATAGTCCATAAACTGCATATGTGCTGGGCTGTGATTGGCTCATGTATTCAAGGACTCTTAGAACATAAATTTTATAAAGAACGGAACATATCTACCGTGTTATAGGGGGTTGACTGTATATACAATTGCTAACTTGCTGACAATCTCAGATTACATGATTTATAAAGTATTTTCTTAACATAAAACTTATAACAACTCTGATTACTTATTTTAAATTCAAATTCACAGATAAAACTGATTTTCAGAATTTTTGTAAATATTTAACAATTAAAATTATTCTTTCAATCACTATATCAGTGTATTTCTATTAATAGGACTTATCATACTGGTGTATAAGATTACAGCCTCACAGTTACACAGATGAAAATTGTTTTATTTTTCAATTACCTGTTTGTTATACACCAGTATGATAAGTCCTATTAATAGAAATACACTGATATAGTGATTGATAGAATAATTTTGATTAAATTAAGGACATTGATGCATATTAATTTAACAATTAGTTTCAATAAAAAGTGAAATTAGTAATCATAAACATTACTAGATTCAGGAAATTGAATTTCTATTAACACTGTGAGATTTTCAACTTGGTTTGAGCTATTTTCAGTACATTAAATTAATTAAAGCATAAATAAAATGCAATGTTAAAAATTGGCATATGTTTGTATACATTCAATTTTTAATTCGGCTTTCTATTTATATTTTAATGTGTTAAAGATTGCTCAAATTGAGTCAAAAACAGTGTTAATAATACAGATTCTGTTTCTTTAATCTAGTAGTATTTACAATTATTTATTCAAAATGTTTCCAAGTTTTAAAAATAAAATTAGAGCTTAAGGTAGAAAAACGCTATATCGGATCTTGCATTTTAGTAAAAATTTTAATATTGCATTCTTTCAGTTAATTTCTACATAATGACTGTACTTCATTCAAATTTTCTATTTGACTTTTTGAACAAAAATATAGAATATAACAAAAAGTATGTTAGACATTTACTTCATGTCAATTTAGGTGCACATAAAAGCAGTTTAAAAAAGACAAATGTACACAAATGAGTTTTAGCATGAGTGTGTAAGTGAATGTGTATACATTCAAGCTCTCTAGATAACTGAGAATGCAAAATATTGCATTAAAATTTTAAAAAACTAAATAAGCTTTNATGTCATTTTTAGTGACCTGATGACATCACGAAGATTTCTCATGATTGCTGCAAGAGATAGTCATGATGTCATAGATGTTTGTCAGCTAGGCATGATGTAATGACAACCATGAACACCCTGTACTTCATTCAAATTTTCTATTTGACTTTTTGAACAAAAATATAGAATATAACAAAAAGTATGTTAGACATTTACTTCATGTCAATTTAGGTGCACATAAAAGCAGTTTAAAAAAGACAAATGTACACAAATGAGTTTTAGCATGAGTGTGTAAGTGAATGTGTATACATTCAAGCTCTC